TCGATCTATCAGCTGTGGCACTAATAATAATAAAATTGCTGATTCAGTTAAAAATTATTTATGTGTTATTAAAAATAAAGACAATAATAACTTTTTGAAAAAGGTTTTTTTTTTAGACCCATTCTTTTAGAATTTAATTCTTATTGAAACTTATTTGAATTTCCAATAAAGACTCTTCCAATTTCTCCATTACATCTTGCATCTCTGTAATTTTCTTTTATTCTTTAAAATGCTTCTCTAAAAGTGATTGCCTCTATTATTTAAATTATCAAATATGCTGAAAATTAACTCAAAAATGATATCAACATACTCTGAATAAAAATTCTAATATAAATGATCTTCTTATCATTAAATAATCTGCCTTTTATTTCTTTCTTTTATAATTTTTCTACTTTTTATCTATTTAATTATCTTGATACCAATTTTTTCTGTAGTCAAAATTGGACTCGTATTTTCAATTTCTTATATTTTAAAAATTTTCAAGAAAATGACCTCCTACAATTTACTTCGTAAATATGCTAATTGGTCATTAAGTTCCAAATGTCGAATTTATCAATTAATAAGAAGAAATATCTAGAACAAAGGGGATTGTAAAATATTAAGATTATTGTTAGAGAATTTATATCAATGTCTTTAAACAATACACATTTTTGAACCTTATCAAATAAAAATGAAGTATTTATCTATGAGTGGAAGAATTAAAAGATTCAATAACTTGGTTCAACTGTGACAATTGATTCCTAGTTTACTTGTTTTAACATCAATTTGTCATCATTGTAAAAATTTTTGATAGATTGTTATTAGAACTATGAATTCGTTTTAATTTAATTAATGGATGAGTAATCAATTCTTGCTCATTCAATATAGTCAACCAATACTTTTGCTACTTTCATCATCATTATCATTTTTTATTAGAGTAGCTAAAACAATAAATTTATAGATTTTGATATTGATTAAGATGGAAATTAAAAACAATTGGAAACTGGGTAGAATTGGATGAAGGATTTAATGTATGCGATGAAAATTCAAAATAAGTAACTTATAATGGTCAATATAATATGAATGGCATAAAGATGGGTAGATGCGATATTATGTTTTGTAAGTTTGGTTAGAAGTAATATAAATAAATGTAAATATTATATAAGGATAAAGGGAATATAAATCTATATAGTGGCGGTGGATCATATCATTAAAATGAAAGTTTGAAAAAGATTGGAAAGTGGGCTGAATTGGATCAAGATTTTAATGATGGTTAACACGCTCCAAAATAAATCATTCATATTGGTGAATATGATAAGAAGGGTCAAAAAATAGGTATTTGGATAGAAATGGATATAAAAGACAATAAAAACAAACAAAGAGAAGAAATATGATATTTGAAAGTTTAAAAATTAAAATCTTATTAAAGAATTTTGTTGTTTTATAAATTGATAAAATGAATCTTTTATTTTTTAAGGTAATAAAATAAATTTAATTTTGGTAGAATTTCTCATTCTGAAAATTCAACCCAAATCAAATCAAAATACAAACAGCTATTATTCTGTAGACAAATAAAAATTATAAAGATCAATCTGTACCTCCTTTAACCCTAGTCACTCTGTTAACAGTCTAGAAATTATATAAATATGAATTAAAAAGTAATTAAAATAAAATAACAGTAGTTTACTGTTGGTATAATAAAAATTTTTCCAGAACTGGTAATAGTGACGACATCAGTAATATGGTTGGGATGGTTAGATCTGGCTTGGATTGGAATTTACATACCATAAAAATATTTAATTTTGTTTTCTCCTTAAAGTTTAATTTTATTTGGATAAAAATATCAAGAAACAGACTTAAGTTGTAAGAAATTATAAAGATTAAGCATATTATTCATATTTATAAAATATATTGGACTCACAATTTAGTAGCATAAGAAGATAAAAAAGCAGTAAATATATTTAATTTATTGTAATAAATAATTTCCCAGAGTTTTAATTTCAATCCCAAAATAAATATATAACGATCTATATTTGTATCCATAAAAATGATAACAACATTTAATGCTTGCACATCTTTATTAAATTCTTGTAATATCATTTATTTTTTTTATCCCCATGGATTTGTAACAATAATTTAATTATCATCAATTTAAAAGGACTTAATAGTAATAATTAGTTCCGAAAAAAATTATCTATCTAAAATTTGATCACCAACTGGAAAACTTTTTGTTCAATATCATAAATGATATATTGAAATCTAAAACCTCGTAAACTTGTTTGTTGATGCTCAATTAATGAAGTCTAAGATTCAGATATTATTTATATAATACCTATTCAGCCAGCACTTATTTATTCGTTAGACCTTATGGTTTGGCCCAAACCTTTTTAAATATCAGACCCCATAAAACAGCATCTACTAATTTCCTGCAATCACCCTTCCGTTTCTCTACATTGAAAGGAAAATAATGATCAAATTGTGATAAACTCTATCAATATAGAATATTATTTATGTAAATCACTATCAAATGATTTTGAAGTGAATATTTTGCAGCATATAAATACAATAACAATTTCCCATTTTCCCTTAAATTGGGAAAGATGAAATATTGGTTCAATAAATAGTGGAAAATCATTAAATGATTTTCAATAAGTGATCTTTTTGCCCACATTCTAAATAGTTAGTTGAAACTCTAAATCGATCATTTAATAAATAAATAATTTTCAAGCAATCACTAAGGTAATTTAGTCCAACTAATTTAAATATATTAATTAAATATAGCTTCTACAATTTATAGTATAATATTAAGCGAAAGCATAAATTTGTTAAAGAATTTCTGTATTTAATAAATTTGAGTTGATCATCACTTCGATTAAAAAGTAGATTTAATTAAATTACAGTTTTAATAAAGTATAATCCAAAT